TCTTATAGTTAGTTTGATGGACACGAAGCAAGAAATTGAAATATATCACACAATATTGAAAAAAATATTTATTAATATCATAACTTGAGTTAGTCACTTCTTGTTGTTGATGACGAGTTAATGTCGTTAATATTGTCATGATATAATAGTGGGTCTTATAGTTAGTTTGATGGACACGAAGCAAGAAATTGAAATATATCACACAATATTGAAAAAAATATTTATTAATATCATAACTTGAGTTAGTCACTTCTTGTTGTTGATGACGAGTTAATGTCGTTAATATTGTCATGATCAATAATAGTGGAGGCTGAAGAACTGTGAAGAGAAGAGAGGGAAAATCGGTTGCTTTGGAGAATAAATTTTAAGAAAAAAAAATTCCAATTGAACATGAGAAGACAAGGCTATTTTTATTCCTATCATAGAAATTACAGTTATTAACCAAAATAGGTGTGTGAGAGTCACTAGATCACGTATCCTATAATATAGGAACGTGAGGGAGAAAAACGCGGCCCAAAATTACAAGTTGTGCCAGTGGAACTCCGAAAATTGATTCAGTTACAGTTATGAGATAGAAACTGTTGGCCTTGTTTATTTGTACTAATGATGAGATAGAAGCGCCTCATCTCTCTCTGTTCAGTTACAGTCCCTGCTACTCTTCAACTTCTTATATTACTTCTATCATCATTAAATCATCTTAAGTTTTTTTTTCCTTCTTCTTCTGCAGAATCAATTCTCATTCAATGGCTCTCAGTTTCTGCTCAAATTGGGATCTGATGGATTACTCAACCCCATTCTTGGACCCGCATTCCGAACTATCTGAAGCCCTCCTTGGCCTCTATGATCCCGTCGATATCCCCATTGACTCTCTCTTCGACCCGCCCTCCGATGGTCTCCTCCTTAGTTACTTCCCTGAACAAAAAACCACCCCCAGTCTCCTCCCGTCCTTCTCCGATCCTTCGATATTCTCTCCAATAAACGACTTGGACTGCTACTGCCAATGCCCGAAGCGCCTGAAGAGCTGTAATGATCTTGATGATTATTCCGCTTCGATGATGAGCAGTTGGCCATGTGTGGAGTTTGCAGTCACTCCTCGGTTCAATGGAGAGGAGACGAAGAAAGATAGTGAGAGTGGGGATCGGGTTTTGTCAGCACAGAGCATTGCAGCGAGAGAGAGGAGGAAGAGGATCAGTGAGAAGACGCAGGAGCTTGGAAAATTGATTCCCGGAGGGAACAGAATGAACACTGCTGAGATGTTTCAGGCTGCATTTAAGTATGTTAAGTTCCTGCAAGCTCAAGTTGGGATTCTCAGTCTTATGGGATCAACGCAGGTAACTTTATTTGACTGATTTAATAGAATTTAATTTAAGTCGGCTTTCTTGAAATTTTGATTTTTTTATTTAATTATTTATATTTTTTCATAGGATGGAGAGGGTTCGATGGACGTGACCGGAGATATTGAAGTGTTGCTGAAATCACAAGTTGTGCAAGAGAAGTTGTCAGGTGAAGGGAAATGTATAGTTCCAAAGGAAATGGTTGAGGCATTGGCTAAGGATACTGAGATAAGATCAAGCCCTTTTATTTCCAGGGATCTTAATCGCTTTGCTGGGGAATTGAATGGGAGTAAATGAAAATTGAAGTGAAGCAGTGTACATGTGATCAATCTCATACAATTTTTGTTGTACGATTGGTCAATAGGTAGACAGTAGATAGATATAGATCGATCATTTTTATTCTCAAGTAATAGATAGGTTTATTTATTTATTTATTTATTTCTTTTGTAATTTTTTAATATTAGTTTTCGATAGTTTGTCAAGATAGGCTCTAACCCAATTATATTCCAAGGCGATTTTAACGCAGAAAAGATTCCTATCTATTAATGGACTCTACATTATCTGTTCCAATTTGAGTGCTGGTATATAGTGGTCAATTTGAAGATATTTCAATTGTTCTCTATATTTATTGAATTTCCCTATTTCAATGCTGACCACTAATTTACTATTATAAATGTTTAAGTTTATCAAGAGTCACTTGAGTAATTAAAAGGTAGTGATTTAGATTATGCCACAAAAGCTAGTATGAGTTACTCGCATGAGCATCTCTAGAGTTAATAGAAAGAACTGTCATCATGGACTTTCATGATAATATATAAAATTCTTTACTATGCTTATTATAAATGAACTGTTGTCAATTAGATCAATGCAATCTTGCAAGTTTCATGAGACGGCAGAAATATAGAAGTTGTACATAGAAGATCCCTGGAAAATATTATTGATGCCAAGTAGATTTGATTTCATTTCAAAAAATTTCATTTATATCACCAGTAATCACTACAAGAACAAGATCCTCCTTTAAAATGATGGAACCTATTTGTATCCCTCACAATGATCTCCCTCCCCATCACCTTAGAAACAAGCTTTATCGCAGAATGACAATCGCCACAAATCCTAATATTTTTCATAATACGAATAGTCGCCCCAGGATTCATATTCAACAATGCAAATGCGAGAGCAAGTTTTTCACTATGATACTGCAATCTAGCTTCTCTCTCTTGCTCATCAACATGTAGAAGCACGTAATTTGTATCTGGAACATATCCAGCTTCTTTAATCTTCATATCTATAATTTCCCACATTTCATGTATCTCTTTAATCTGTGGGTGTGAATCATCATCGGCCACAAACATATGAACTGTATTCTCTAGCTCTACCCAACTACACGCTGGCTCTTTTCTTAACCCACTTTTTTTCATCATTTTTCTCACTCGAGCTGCATCGATCCATTTCCCAGCTGAAGCATAGATGTTATATAGCAAAACATGAGGCCCTGAATCGAATGGATCGAGCTCAAAAACTCTTTCTGCAGCAATTTGACCTAGTTCCGCATTTTTGTGCATCCTGCAAGCTCCAAGCAAAGCTCCCCAAACTGCAGCAGTCGGCTTCATTGGCATCTTGCTAATGAATTCTTTAGCTCGATCAAGAAGTCCAGCCCGCCCAAGTAAATCAACCATTGTTACATAGTGTTCAATCTCTGGTTCTACTTTATACTTCTTCATTGATTCGAAATAATGCTGGCCAGCATTTAGTAGGCCTCCATGACTACAAGCAGTAAGAACACATAGAAATGTAATCTGATTTGGTTTAACTTTTAGCTTAAGCATATCCTCGGATAAACTGACTGTTTGTTTAGCGAGTCCGTGTTGAGCATATCCAGTAAGCATACAATTCCAAGAGACAACATCATTTTTATCCAATTGATCAAAGACTTTTCGAGCATCCTCAATGCTTCCACATTTGGCATACATATCAAGAAGAGTATTTGCTACATAAGAGGTTACCTTTTGCAAGGATTTTATGAGAAGGGCATGAATCCATTTCCCTTGCTCCATTGCCCCCATGCTCGCACAAGCACCGAAAACACTCGAATAAGTGAAATGGGTCGGCTCAAAACTTCTCCTTTTCATCTCTGCAAACATTTTAAGAGCCTTCTCGCCTTCTTCTTTTCTTGCATATCCAGCAATTAGAGCATTCCATGAGACTTCATTCTTGGAATCCAACCGATCAAACACAAAACAAGCCTCATCCATCTTCCCAAAACGCGCATACATATCCAACAATGAACTCCCAACAAACACATTCAAGTTGCAAGAATATTTAACACTTAAAGCATGAATTTGTTCCCCAACTTCAACACTTTCAGCAGAACCAGCGGCCTTCAAAAGGCTCGCAAAAGTAAACTCGTTAGGTTTCAATCTAAGTACGAGCATTTTAGGAAGCAACTCCAATGCCTCTTTAGGCTGATCATTCTGTGAGTAACCCGTTATAAGCGCAGTAAAGCTGACCACATCTTTAACAGGCATTTCATCAAACGCTTCGTGGGCATCGATCAAGCACCCACATTTGCAGTACATGTTAATGACTGAAATTTGGAAGAAAGGGTTGTCCTTGAATCTAGAACCCTTCAAGTGAACGTGAACCATTTTGCCTTCTTTGAGCTTCTTCAACTGGGTACACTGTTTTAGAAGCTGGGAGTAAATACTGATTGTGGGTTCGAGAGAGCCGGCATCAATGAGGTCGAGAACGCGAAGATTTGATGGGTTTTTTGGGTTTTTAAGGAGCAAGTCCGTATCTTTGATGATGAAATTGGATAAAGTTTCAGCTTCGGTTTCGAACTCTTTTATATCATGATTCGAAGTTTCAGCAGAAGTGAGAATGGTCGAAAATTTACCAAAAGTTGCAGAAATGAAGGGTAGAGTTAATTTGTTGGTCTCTTTGTGGAGAAGAGACGAGAAATGGAAGAGAAGTTTCTTCATGGATTCAAATTAGGCACTCACACACACAACACACACATCACACACGGGGGAGAGAGAGAGAGAGAGAGAGGCTCTTTAGCAATCAAGTTGTTACTTGCAACGGTAAAAGGAGGAAAAGAAAAAAGATATGCATTTATTCTGCTCTCTAGATTTGCTTCTATCTCTGTAATAAGTACTGAAATAACATTATTATTATTCATAATATTATTATTGTGATAAACTGAAATCACAGCATTAACAGGAGAAAAAACGGAGAAAAGAACAAGTATACCCTCATGAAAGAGAGTTAATTGTCGATAGACCCTGCAGTTTTGCTGCTTAGAGCTTACTACCCTTGTAGTTTGATTTTAGCAAATAGACCCCTGAGCGAAATCTTTTTTGACTCGTTCACCCTCGGAGTTTATTTGTCAAAAAACTTCTCTTTCTCTGAGGGTAAAAGTGTCCAAAAATTTCTCTTGAGGGGTCTATCTGTGGAAATAAAACTTAGGGAATTGTAAGCTAAAAATAGCCATACTACAGGGTGTGCATCGCAATTTACGTATGCCAAACTTTTTAACACACCACAAGTTCGCTATATGAGAAAATCTACTCTATTTTTATATCCATCATCTCTCCAAATTCTCCTTCCAGATATGAGAGAACAACTGCCCTTGTTATTATGACACGGACAATAATCCCTATGAAGGACAAGACACAAGTTTTATAAAATCTACTACATGTTTAGTAACAATTGATGACAACTTAGTAAACCACTAAAGACATAACTCCAGCATCTCATACTTCAATGCTTATATTCCGCTGGTGTAAGCTCCCCTGTGGAATGCCCAGATCAAACGTAACCATACCACACCCATCCTCGTATCCAAACTCAACATCCTCCTCTTCAACTCTAATTCTCTTCGGTCTAGCTGATGAATGTGCACCAAATGTACCAACGCCACGAACCTTAACATCTATTGTTGCAGCTTTCTTAGATTGATATTTCACCTCCTTGATTGCTCCACCAGAGTTGAACATCTTGATCAGTCCAATCGGAGCAAAAGAAGTTCCATTAGATAATTCCTTAACCGGTACCACCGTGAAGACTTCATGTTCTCGAGATTTCAGTGTAATAGGCAAAACTGCATCCTTTGGAAGAAAAATAACCTCTCCTGCAAAGCAAATCAAGAAAACAGAAGTTACTTTTTTCCCTTCAATCTAGTACTTGTTGGCAATTTAACGCCGTAATCCCTAATACAACAGAAACACAGAATAGAAAAAGTACACCAAGTTTTAACGAGGTTCGGCAACTGCCTACGTCCTCGGGAGCCACACAGTCAATTTCTTATTAATCAAACAAGAAATTACAATTTAAGAGCAAATCCCTAAACTGAGATTTCTCAAATGAACACTGTAGCTACAGTGTTAATAATTAAAGGGTATGAACCCTTTCAATTCTCACTTGAGAATAAATACCCCACAATATAAACCCCTCTTTTCTTTTCCTCTCTCTACTTTAATCTCTTTGCTTTTATAGGCGAGATTGATGGGCTGGCGACAGCCTGTCGCCAGCGGCCCGCGGACGCGATGGTGGGAGCGTCGAGACGCGAGCGTCGAGCTTGGACGCGAGGGTCGGGATTTCTAGCCGCGAGTGTCGCGTTCGCCCCAAACGAAGGTCGCGTTCGCTCCAAACGAGGATCGCGTTCGCCTGCGAGGGTTCGCCGTCGACTTCCTTGAGCTCGTCGGAGCTCCTCCGCCGTCGGAGGTTGGTATCCACCCCCAACCTAACAATCTCTCACTTGGAGACCAAACCGACGCCAACATGCTATCCCATCAAGCTCCTCTTCTGTGTGACTCCGCCTTCATCATCTATGCATGAAGGCCAACTGAAGTTGCGCACAACTCCAGTTTCTGAACTGTCACCGTCTTTGTTAACATATCTGCTGGATTCTTACTTACTGGAATCTTTTCCAGTTTTAACACGTCATCTTCCAACATGGATCTAATGAAGTGGTACCGAAGCGCAATATGCTTCGTTCTGGAATGAAATGCTGAATTCTTTGCCAAGTGTATCGCACTCTGACTATCACTGTGCAAAACATTCTTCTCCTGTTTGAATCCCAGCTCTGTCAACAAACCCTGAAGCCATATCATCTCTTTACTGGCTTCAGTCACTGCAACATACTCAGCTTCTGTAGTGGATAGGGTAACAATCTTTTGTACCTGTGACATCCAACTAACAGCTGTAGTTCCAACGGTGAATACATAGCCGGTGGTGCTTCTTCGGTGATCGACTTCACCGCCGAAGTCTGCATCTACGTACCCTTGCACTTCTACCTCTCCCTTACCTAAGTGCAAACACTTCTGTGTGGTGCCTCGTAGATATCTTAGAATCCACTTGACCGCTTTCCAATGAGCTTTTCCCGGATTCGACATAAACCGGCTGACCACTCCCACTGCATGGCCAATGTCTGGTCTCGTACAGACCATTACGTACATCAAACTTCCGATAGCTGAGGCGTAAGGAACCTGAGCCATACTCTCTTTCTCTTCTTCTGACTGAGGAGACTGATCCTTCGATAGACGAAAGTGGCTGGCCAAGGGTGTGCTCACAGGCTTGGCGTCGCCCATGTTGAATCTCTGCAAAACACGGTTGATGTACTCCGTCTGAGATAACTGCAAGAGACCTCTCTTCTTATCTCTCGTGATTTGCATTCCAAGGATCTTCTTCGCTGGACCCAAGTCCTTCATGTCAAACTCCTTTGACAACTGCTGCTTCAAACTCTTGATATCTTTCATATCTGCTCCTGCAACCAACATATCATCAACATACAGCAGTAGGATGATATAACTGGACTGATATCTTTTGAAGTAGCAACAGTGGTCGGCGTTGCACTTCTAGAAACCTTCCTTGTGCATGAAGCCGTCAAACTTATTGTACCACTGCCTTGGGGCTTGTTTCAGGCCATACAAGCTCTTCTTGAGTCTGCACACCAGGTTCTTCTTCTTTTCTTCTGAGAAACCTTCTGGTTGGTGCATGTATATCTCCTCTTCTAGATCTCCGTGAAGAAACGCCGTCTTCACGTCTAACTGCTCGAGATGAAGATCTTCAATTGCTACAATACTCATCACGGTCCTGATAGTATTTAGCTTCACCACGGGAGCGAAAATATCGGTGTAGTCAATTCCTTCCTTCTGCTGGAAGCCTTTGACAACTAGCCGGGCCTTATATCTTCTGGAACCATCTTGCTCCTCTTTCACCCGGTACACCCATTTGTTGTGGAGTGCCTTCTTACCCGTGGGCAACTCAGCTAGTTCCCACGTCTGGTTTGAGATGAGAGACTTCATCTCATCTTTCATGGCAAGCTCCCACTTGCTCGCATCTCCACACTGACAAGCTTCATCAAAGCTTTCAGGCTCCTCACCATCTGTCAACAACAGATAGTTCATGTATCTCCTGTTGGGTACAGGAGGACGAGAAGATCTTCTTAATATCGGAGCTGGTGCGTCGGGCTCATCCGCACCATCTTGTCCAACGGACTCTTCTTGCTGAGGACCCTCTGCATTGGGATCTTCCGAGAGGTTACTTGGGACATCATCTGCATCTACAAATATTGACTTGCTCTCTGAGTCATCTGTCTTGTGTATGTCCTTGTACATCACCTTCTCGTTGAATATCACATCTCTGCTCCTGATCACCTTCTTGTTTTCGTTGTCCCAAATGCGGTAGCCGAACTCATCTTCACCATAGCCGATGAAAGTGCATTTCTTTGACTTGGGATCAAGCTTATTCCTGCCTTGATCACTAATATGCACGTAAGCTACACAACCGAAAATTTTAAGATGTGAGAGTTTAACCTCCTTTCCGCACCATGCCTCCTCTGGTATTATGTGCTCCAATGGAACCGATGGACCTCGGTTGATCAAGTAAGCTGCTGTGTTGACTGCTTCTACCCAGAACTACTTCGGTAGGCCTGACTGTACTCGAATGCTTCTGGCTCTCTCTGTCAACGTTCGGTTCATTCGCTCAGCTACACCATTTTGCTGAGGCGTGCCGGGCACGGTTCTTTCCATTCTGATCCCGTGCTCATAGCAGAACTTCTTGAATCCGGTGTCTTCATACTCACCGCTATTGTCGGTCCTGAGCTTCTTTATTCTCAGACCGGTCTCATTCTCGACCATAGCTTTCCATCTCCTGAAAGCCTCAAATACTTCTGACTTATGCTTCAGAAAGTAGACCCACACTTTCCGAGAGTGATCATCGATAAAAGTCACGAAGTAGTGTTTCCCACCAATCGACGCAGTGGTGGTTGGTCCCCAAACATCTGAGTGAACGAGCTCTAGCTTCTGCTTCCTGGGGGTTCTGCCACTTGTCTGAAAGCTGACTCTCTTCTGCTTTCCAAGTATACATTCTTCACACATATCCATCTCCACTGACTGCAGTCCTGGGAGTTTTTCCTTTGTGTGCATGATCTTCATCCCCTTTTCACTCATATGACCGAGTCTCTGGTGCCACAGCTTTGAAGTCTCATTACCTGCTGCAACTGAGATCGAACAACGTACACATGCTGTCATATATAGGGTACCAGTCTTCCTGCCTCGGGCAATCGTCATTGCGCCCTTTGAGATCTTCTAATCATCTTCATAGAAGGTCGTGGTGTATCATTCGCCAGCCAGCTGGCCTACGGATATTAAATTCTTTCTCAGGTCGGGAATATGCCTGACATCCTTCAACTCCCATACTGACCCGTTCAACTTAATTTTCACCACGCCTTTGCCCACAATAGCACATGGTTGATCATCACCAAGATATACGTATCCAAGATTTCCGGGGGTATACTTCTCGAAGAATTCTTTCTGAGAAGTAGCATGGAATGACGCTCCTGAATCTAACACCCAAGATTCCTCCTTGCTCTCCAAAGAGCATATCAATGCGTCGTCTCCTCCTGAGGTGGAGGTGACATTCACCTCTGCCTTCGCCTCCTTCTCCTTCTGTGTACTCTTGCACTGATTCTTGTAATGCCCGGTCTTTCCACAATTCCAACACTCGATAGCCTTCGAGCTGTTGCTTGGATTCCTCGATTTGGACCTCCTGTCCTTTGATCTACCTCTGAAGTTTGATTTTCCTCGTCCGTTTCCTCTGGTTGAATTTCTACCTCTTGACTCTGTATGCAATACTGAAGAGGTTGTAGCTTCACCAGTCTCTCTCCGTCGGATCTCCTCGCTGAGAACCAAATCACGAACGTCGCCGAACTTCAACTTTTTCTTTCCCGACGAGCTACTCACAGCTGTGACTGTAGCGTTCCAACTCTCTGGCAGGGAAGATAAAAGTATCAACGCCCGAACTTCATCATCAAACTCATTCTCAACTGAACTCAATTGGGTTGTAACCGTATTAAGTTCATTGAGGTGTTGTGCTACTGACGCGCCTTCCGCCATTTTCAGATTGAATAACCGCCGCATCAAATGAACTTTGTTCGCGGCTGATGGCTTCTCATACATGTTTGAGAGTGCTGCCATAAGACCTGCCGTGGTCTTCTCCTTCGCTATGTTGAACGCAACATTACGAGTCAACGTCAATCTGATAACTCCGAGGGCTTGTCTATCTAGAAGGTTCCACTCTTCTTCCTTCATAGAATCCGGCTTCTTCCCCGATAGTGGTTGATACAGATTTTTCTGATACAGATAATCCTCTATCTGCATTTTCCAGAATCCGAAATCTGTTCCATCAAATTTCTCAAGTCTCAGTTTTCCTTCATCTGCGGCCATGGCTCCCACTTGAATCTGACTTCCTCTAGATCGTTTCACGCTCTGATACCAGTTGTTGGGAATTTAACGCCGTAATCCCTAATGTAACAGAAACGCAGAATAGAAAAAGTACACCAAGTTTTAACGAGGTTCGGCAACTGCCTACGTTCTCGGGAGCCACACAGTCAATTTCTTATTAATCAAACAAGAAATTACAATTTAAGAGAAAATCCCTAAACTGAGATTTCTCAAATGAACACTGTAGCTACAGTGTTAATAATTAAAGGGAATAATCCCTTTCAATTCTCTCTTGAGAATAAATAATAATAACCCCACAATATTAATCGAGAAGATGAACGTTGCTGCGTTAAAAGGATCCGCCGCCAGAGAAAAGTCGGGGGAGAAAAAAGCACCAAACCCTAGGGATCGGGGTTTGCTTTTATAGGCGAGATTGATGGGCTGGCGACAGCCTGTCGCCAGCGGCCCGCGGACGCGATGGTGGGAGCGTCGAGACGCGAGCGTCGAGCTTGGACGCGAGGGTCGGGATTTCTAGCCGCGAGGGTCGCGTTCGCCCCAAACGAAGGTCGCGTTTGCTCCAAACAAGGATCGCGTTCGCCTGCGAGGGTTCGCCTGCGAGGGTTCGCCGTCGACTTCCTTGAGCTCGTCGGAGCTCCTCCGCCGTCGGAGGTTGGTATCCACCCCCAACCTAACAGTACTTGTTCAGTTAAACTTGAGGTCAATAGGTAATTTCCTTGCTGTTTGTTAATCTATTAGCCAGCTGAAGAAAACAAAAATATGTTTGTTAATTATATTAGAAATCCTTTTTGAATGAAAAAAAAAAACAAATATTTCCTTGCTCGGTTTGTAGCATTGTCAGCTTCATTAGTAACACCAGTGGAATCCATACTGACTGATTGCCAACCATCATCAATTATGACAAATTTTGGAGGACTTCCACCGTTTTCTAAGCTAAAAGAAAGGGAAAATATATTGTTAATAGATACTTAATAAGATAATGTGTGCTAATATGAAAGGAAAAAAAAATACGCAATTAGCTACCCAAATCCTGCCGTCCTATTTTCTTGCTTCGACGCCCCCATCCTACAATGAATTGTCATGGACCGATAATAAAAGAGAGAAGGGTATATGAAATTTATCTTCAATTATCTTAAATAGGCTATAAATATTTATCTCAATTTTATTGAAATGATTATCATCTGTTATTTATCTCATAATTATTTTTAATTTTGCTTCAAACAATGTTTTATATTTTATCCTAGAAAACAAGATACGTATGGTTTGTAATTTTTTATCTGCATTAAATTTTAAAAGGAAACGAGAAAAATACCTACCCAAATTTATGTGTAATATTTTTTAGTGAAAATGTAAAAACAAAATCTATAGAATATTGTCATACGGAAGTTAAAGGAATGAAAAACAAAAAAAAAAAATTAGGGAGAAAAATCTATAGATTTATAACCGACCAATAGCTTCGGTATTCCAGAAATTAATTTCGGAGTACCGATGGCATATCCTAAAATTTTTAAGCAAAATCAATCTCTCTAATATCCAAAATTTCTGCTAACTTCCGCATTAATGGGACGAGGCAGTTAATTGAGGAGTTCTACGGGTAGAGTTGTAAAGAAATTGAAATATATCACACAATATTAAAAAATATATTGTCCATATTTTTTCTCTCATGGAATTGCTAGAAGAGAAAGGGTAAAAAGGGAAATGGGGAAAGAAAGCTGAAGGGGAGAGAAGGAGACTAGGATTGGAAAAAAGGAAACATCTCTAATATCATAATTCAGTACTTTTCTCCGTTCAAAATTCTACTCTTAATAATGTTGTTTTGTATTTACGAATTTCTAATCATACCTAATGTATTTATTAATTTCATAACTTGAGTTAGTCACTTCTTGTTGATGACGAGTTAATGTCGTCGATATTCTCATGATCAATAATAGTGGAGGCTGAAGAACTATGAAGAGAAGAGAGGGAAAATCGGTTGCTTTGGAGAATAAACTTTAAGAAAAGAACATTTCAATTGAACATGAGAAGACAAGGGTATCCTCCCTATTTTGTTCCTATCATAGAAGTTACAGTCATTAACCAAAATAGGTGTGGGAGAGTCACTAGATATCCTATCAACTACTTCTTTTAACTAAGTGGGTGTTTGGTAACCTAAAAGTGAATTGTAATTGTGAAGATCACTTTTTTTGTAATTGAGAAATTGTATTCACGTCAACACGTGAGTGAAATAAAATGTTTGTTTGCAAAATAACTTATTGTAGAAACTATAAAAGTAAAAATGATGTGACAATATTTTATTTATTTATTTAAAATCATCTTCCAAAATCCTTTTCAAATTAGTTATATCTCTCCTATCCAATAGCTGCTTTGAGATATTAATTTAGAACAAAAACTATTGCACTCATAAAAACTTCAAACATCACAATTAACATATGTTATAAACCATCACAAGACATATGATGATGGAAATTAATAAAAGAATCCGCAGCTAAAAGTCACAATCTATAAAACTAAGGTTGCCACCCAAATTATAGAGGAAAAAATAGGGTTGCTACCCAAATTATAGAGGAAGAAAAAGCAAAGAGGGGAAAATTGATGGGGAAAATTACGCGGGTAGAAAAGGTAGAAGGAGAAGAAAATTTTGTGGGAGACGGTTGTTTCCACCGAATAATAGGGGAAAATAAGATAAGATAAATAATAAATATACTAATTATTTAGGAGTGATCCCCACTTTTTTTCTCACTTTCACTTGACTTCAGCACTTTTTAGGGGAACTTAAACATGCATTAGAGCTGATGTGGACTCATTTTAACATTTCACTTTTAAAATTACTTTCAATAAAACAAACACCAAGTCTTAAAATCATTTCACTTTCACACTTTTACAATTCACTTTTATAAAAACAAACACCCCCTAAAGGAGAACAATGTGAACAGTAAATCTGATTTGTACCAATCAGATTATTTTTAAAAACAAACTTTTCTTACAGGTCCTTAACCAACTTTATTTCCACTTTCTTTTTTCCGAGATAACTGAATACTTTATTTTCTTTTAAAAAGCCAACAGCTTCGGTACTCCTTTTGAGTACCGATGACATCTTCTGTAAATAGAAAGACCTAAAATTTAGCTCTCTAATCCACAATTTAAGGGATTATGCGGTTTATAGACCTTCCACACCTACATTTGTAAATAGGTTGAACTTAGAGGGTAATTTTGGAGTTGAAAACATCATAGAAAAGGATAAAACTGATATTTGAGAAGGGTTAGTTTTCTTCAACTAATTTCTCACTTGATCTTGAACAAAATCTAATTTGACCGTATTCCATCATATTTGATTTCTCTCTTCTATTTTTTCTTCCATATTTATGACAAAAAATTGGTGTTATAATGCAAAGTTGTGTTTAAAACTGGAATTCTGGTTCTTGTTTTTAATCATATTGTATAAAATTATGCATAGAATGTGTATGTCAATTCCTTTCTTGTCACTATAAAGAGGAATGAAACCGTCGATTGAAAAAATACACTTTTATTTATATTTTCACCGAAAAGGTTTAGAACTGAGTCAAAGGATCTTTCTACATACTGACATTAACAATTTGATACCCCATTTACGAGAAATATTCATTTAGAAATAAGTGTAATAAACTGTTTTGATTTATATTCTTCTGTACATTGAAAAATGAAAATCTAAAAAATTCTTAAATGCAAATTAATGAATCAATCTTACATGTTAAAATATAACTAAGTCTTACTATACAGTTATCCTTTTAATAGTGATATAGGACTTGCAAAAAAGCAGTGCTCCTCCTAGGTCTTTACTAGGCTGTTATATGTTTGCTTCAACATGTATATAAGCTCCAAATTAGGCTAAACTAAATTATCATTTTTAACTAAATCTAAAAGTTAATTCGCCCTAGTAAACGTGAAACAAGGGAGGTGGGTGAAGTGGTTATGGACAGAGAAATAATAGGAATTGAAAAGGAAAAGACAAATGTACCCTTGTTATTTTCAGCCCAAAACCTTACTTTCCTATCCATTTAAAAATTATAAAAATTCTTATTTTCTTATTTTTGGAGCACGAAAGCAAAACACTTCTAAAAATACTCCGCCTCAACCTGTAACTGCCACATTCCCCTAAAACTTCTCCGCTGTAACCCCCACATTCCCCTAAACTACTCCGCCTCAACCTGTTAACTCCCAAGCCTCTTGCGGTTTTTTCATCTCCTCTTCTTCAGAAATTGTCTCATTCAATGGCGCTAAGTTTCTACTCAAATTGGGATCCAATGGATTACTCAACCCCGTTCTTGGACCCGCATTCCGAACTATCTGAAGCCCTCCTTGGCCTTCATGATCCCGTCGATATCCCCATTGCCTCCCTCTTCCATTGACTCTCTCTTCGACCCGCCCTCCGATGGTCTCCTCCTTAGCTACTTCCCTGAACAAAAAACCACCCCCAGTCTCCTCCCGTCCTTCTCCGATCCTTGGATATTCTCTCCAACAAACGACTCGGACTACTTCTGCCAATGCCCGAAGCGCCTGAAGAGCTGCGGTGATCTTGATGATTATTATTCCGCTTCGATGGTGAGCAGTTGGCCATGCGTGGAGTTTGCAGCCTCCCCTCGGTTCAATGGGGAGGAGAAGAAGAGGGAGGGTGAGGGTGGGGATCGGGTTCTGTCAGCACAGAGCATCGCAGCGAGAGAGAGGAGGAAGAGGATCAGCGAGAAGACGCAGGAGCTTGGAAAATTGATTCCGGGGGGGAACAGAATGAACACTGCTGAGATGTTTCAGGCTGCATTTAAGTATGTTAAGTTCCTGCAGGCTCAAGTTGGGATTCTTAGTCTTATTATGGGATCGACGCAGGTAACTTTATTTGGCTGGTTTAATTTAAGTCGGCTTTCTTTGAAACTTTGGTTTTTTTTTATTTAATTACTTATATTTTTTATAGGCTGATGGAGATGGTTCGATGGAGGTGGCGGGAGATATTGAAGTGCTGCTGAAATCACAAGTTGTGCAAGAGAAGTTGTTGGGTGAGGGGAAATGTATAGTTCCAAAGGAAATGGTTGATGCATTGACTAAGGATACTGAGGTCAGATCAAGCCCTTTTATCTCCAGGGATCTTAATCGCTTTGCTGGGGAATTAAATGAAAATTGAAGTGAAGCAGTGTACATGTGATCAATCTCATACAGTTTTTTTGTTGTATGATTGGTCAATAGGTAGACAGTAGGTAGATATAGATCGATCGTTTTTATTCTCAAGTGATAGATAGGTTTATTTATTTCTTTTGTAGTCTTTTAATATTAGTTTTCAATAGTTTGTCAAGATAGGCTCTAACCCAAGTATATTCCAAGGCGATTTTAACGCAGAAAAGATTCATGTCTATTAATGGACTCTACGTACATTATCTGTTCCAATTTGAGTGCTGGTTTGTAGTGGTCAATTTGCAAATTTGAAGATATTTCAATTGTTCTCTATATTTATTGAATTTCCCAATTTCAATGCTGACAACTAATTTACTCGTATAAAATTTTAAGTTTATCAAGAGTCACTGCAGTTTTGCTGTTTAGAGCTTACTACCCTTGTAGTTTGATTTTAGCAAACAGACCCCTGAGCGAAATCTTTTTTGACTCGATCACCCTCGGAGTTTATTTGTCAAAAAACTTCACTTTCTCTGAGGGTAAAAGGGTCCAAAAAATTCTCTCGAGGGGTCTATCTTCGGAAATAAAAGTTAGGGAATTGTAAACTTAAAACAGCAATACTACAAGGTGTGCATCGCAATTAACGTATGTCAAACTTTTTAACACTCCACAAGTTGGCTATATAAGAAAATCTACTTTATTTTTATACCCATCATATCTCTAAACTCTCCTTTCAGATATGAGAGAACAGTTGCCCTTGTTATTATGAGACGGACAATAATCCCTATGAAGGACAGGATACAAGTTTCATATGATCTACTACATGTTTAGTAACAATTGATGACAACTTAGTAAACCACTAAAGACATAACTCCAGCATCTCATACTTCAATGCTTATATTCCGCTGGTGTAAGCTCCCCTGTGGAATGCCCAGATCAAATGTAACCATACCACACCCATCCTCATATCCAAACTCAACATCCTCCTCTTCAACTCTAATTCTCTTCGGTCTAGCTGATGAATATGCACCAAATGTACCAACGCCACAAACCTTAACATCTATTGTTGCAGCTTTCTCAGATTCACATTTCACCTCCTTGATCGCTCCACCAGAGTTGAACATCTTGATCAGTCCAATCGGAGCAAAAGAAGTTCCATTAGATAATTCCTTAACCGGAACCACCGTGAAGACTTCATACTCCCGAGATTTCAGTGTTACAGGCAAAACTGCATCCTTTGGAAGAAAAATAACCTCTCCTGCAAAGCAAATCAATGAGATCAAACATAACATTAGGTAAATGAGGGGGAAGAAAACAGAAGTTACTTTTTTCCTTCAATCTAGTATTTGTTCAGTTAAACTTGAGGTCAAAAGGTCCTTTTATCATCACGTCGAGTGATTTCCATGTGACATCTTGACTGAACTTGGGGAATAATCTTGTCAGGGACTCAGGGGTATGAGTGCCAATAAAATAGTTAACGTGGTACATCTCTAATTAATCTTAGGTACCAATTAACCAACTACATAAATACTTCATACATACCTTTTAAGTGGGAATATATGATTGAATTCCCATTCCAACCTTGTTCTGCTACTCTCTGAATGTAATCTACATCCTTTGCTCGGACCAAACCTGTAACGGTTCCAGGTTGTTGATCATGAATCAAGTTCTTCTTTCCAACTCGACACCAGCCAGCTCCTTGGCAATTAAATACACCAATAACTCCACAATAGTCATTCAAATTCCATATTTTAAGAAGACTTTTCCCATCACGAGCTGGATCTGAAAATAAGCAATCTCTTGTTGGTCTTCCAGGCAATTTGGCCCTCAATATTGATCCGTCAGGAAGTACGAGCTTTTTCAGCAGATTAAAGTCATGGTAACCCGGTTTATCACTGTATAGATAGATAAAAATCTCATTATAATAGTTTTGCTTATATGAGAATTTACTTTGTTAGGATTTGTGTCGTTACCTGACATAAATAGCACAGCCACCAACAGCTCGAGCAGCTCCATGGTATTCAGCCATAGGGTGGAGACTCTAATTGAAGAAAGTTGATATCAATTAAATTATTTATGTTATATATAAAGAATTGATGAGAACATTTTTACAAACTTACATGAAACATATCCCAATCAGGTTGCATAAATTCTCCAAGGAAAACAGTATTATACGCAACTGAAGCAATATGAATTGTATGAGAAGCAGGATCTCTAGGCCAGAAATCATCAGATGCCCTTATAACTGCTGTCTTTTTCGCACTGTAAGCAGATCAAATTAGATACAAGTCTTAGTTTCAACTGAAAAAAAATAAAAACAGGAACAATTTTAAAACTTAAAAGAGTTTGGTACCTGTACAAGCCATCAGTATTATGGCTCATGCAAGAAATAATCCCATTATCCGGAAAATTCCTAGCAATTGAAGCCTCTAAAGCTTGGTGATATTTCCTAGCTAGTTTCACCCTTCCACCATGGCCAGCTCCAAGAGTTTCTAGGATGTTCTGAACATCGACTTTCACTCCATCAATCCCAGCAGAAGCAAGATAAGAATGAAGTTCATCGTAGAAATTAAACACTTTTTCAGGATTTACTAGCCCAAGCCCATTTGTAGTTATGCTATTGAGACAATCACAGTGCTCATTTGATTTAACACCTGGCGATGAAACTGGAAAAGAGATTTTAGCTTCGTAATGTTCCATTCCTGAAATGTCCGGTCTTACTCCACCCCAGTAGCCAGTTATCGCATGCCAAACATAAACATATCTGGAAATGAAAAATAAAGTGATAAATAAATAATGTGACTAATAATATTTGAAAATAGACTATGGTTTGTATTATTACTTGATATCATGTTTTTCTTTGATCTCTGTGACTATGTGGGCAATACCCTTGGATGGATCTTCTTCACGATGACCCTCCTTGCCGTTCTTCTGAAATTTGTGGTTTTCCTTGATGTTAGTTAACCTATTAGCGAAGCTGAAGAAAATAAAACAATTTTGTTAAAATTATATTAGAAATCCTTTTTGAATGACAAAATACAAATATTTCCTTGCTTACTTTGCAGCATTATCAGCTTCATTGGCAATACCAGTGGAATCCATACTGACTGATTGCCAACCATCATCAATTATGACAAATTTTGGAGGACTTCCACCGTTTTCTAAGCTGAAAGAAGGGGGAAAATATATTGTAAATAAACACTTAATAATATAATGTGCGCTAATAGGAAAGAAAAACAAGCAATTAGCACCTTTCCAATCCTTGCTTAACTCCTTCAGCAGTGACATTAGTGTAAAATGCATCCCATGTGCACCAGCCAAACCAGTTCAACATATCTGGCATCTGCCAATAAATTGGAAGTTTGAGATAAGCATCTGGTTGAATTACCTTGAAAATAAACAGAAAGAAAATTCTATAACAGGATATATTTCGGAGAGTTTCTTTCTCCGAAAAAAAGGGTAAGGAAAGTACCTTCTTCTTCTCCCGATGAGTAAATGTCTGCAGATGTCTTTCAACAGACCTATTGAATTTGCAGTACAATAGGGGCATGTTTAGTAACATAGATATTTATAGTGACTAAACATTTATATCTACTAACCACTACTACAAATAAAAAACCAATGGCCTTCGGAAGGTTAAGGAAAAACAAATAGCAGGTTAAAAATGTTGAACATTGCTTTATCATATCGCATTCAAATTCTCTCAAGGGAGGAATTGGAGTTATTGTTTGTGAGGTTCAAGACATTAATTACTCAACAAACAATTAATGGTTATCCCCATAACCTCAGAAGGAACATTAACTGAACTGTAGGAATATATATTATATATATAGAGTGCTGCTACGGGGACCCAAAATATAGGACCAATGGGTGGAACAAGTGATGTGTCTCTCCCCTATTGGATAATGGAGAGAGAGATTAATGTGTTGTCGCTTGTCAGGTAGTGGGATATTTCCCTCTTATTCCTTGACGCCTATTGTGACACTATTTCGTCTCCACCATCTTGCTTATAAAGTAGGAGAGAAGAATGTGAGTTGGTTGTAATTGTGTCACATAGAATGTCAAGGAGAAAATGCCCCTCATTGAATAGGACACCCATTAATCTCATATTATATATATATATATATATATATATATGAATATATATTATATATATATATATATCTTATATATATATATATAATAATATATATATATATTATTAATATATATAGATATATATATATATATATATATATATATTATAAGAGATTAATTGGGTATACTTGTCAAGGAGGGGAAATTTTCCTCCTTGACACTGGATATGGGCACAGATCTCCACATATGAATAAAGTAGGAGAGAGAATTCACTTGGCTGCGGGGATTGTGTCACACTCAATTGTCAATGAAATGAATCATCTTCTTGACAGTTGATACCATTAATGCTCATAGTTAATATATATATATAATATATATATATACTATATATATACACACCACACACACATACGAATCCTCTTCTTAGACATTGGATACCCTTAATCTCATAATATATATATATATTATAGTATATATATATATATAATATATTATATAGTATATACATATATGGTGGGAAATGATTACTAGATAATTGAACTTGATTTTCATGTAAAGGCATTTGTGAACAACTTCAAAAGAATTAAAGGATAAAGTAACCTTAAGCTAGAACTGGCTACAGGTACAATCAATATAATCAAACTAAACATCATTCTCAAAGATGTAGAATTTTAACATAGAGAGCTAATTGTATATGATGAAAACAAATTATTTAACCTATTCTTAGAATCTTAGAGCATAAATAGTTGAATAACACAAAAGATTAACAATGTACAATAAGGTGCTACAAATGTTGGTTGCATAATTTCTCTACTGTGATATAATATATGACGATTTCTTTTGTTTGATTGAAACATCTCAAACAACTAAAATTGTTGTAAAAGTTTTCTCAAATACAAAAAAAACAAAATATGAAACAAATCAGCTGTACAAAAATCTAAGATTCAACAATTAGAACTCTACTAAAGAACATGGAAATAATGGCCTGATAGAACAGACTGATCAGCTTACTTTACTGCATCTGTGATGACATCAAAAGGGTTAGGCCCAGCAGCCACAAAGACCAAATGATTTCCTTCAAATCTGTCAACAGAAGGATCACCTGAAAAAACAATTGCAATCATAAACAAACATTCTCCCAAAACATTATGAAAACAAGCTGAAAGTTTCAATTTTTTTTACCCATTACCACTTTCCAAACAGATTTCTAGTTCATCATTCTCATTGCCCTGAAGAACAGCTCTAAACGAACCCTCAAGAATTGGTAAGAACACAGTATAAACAACTGATTGCTCTGATCCATTCAAATTCTCCTCACTAAAGTGAGATCCATTGTTTCCCTCTATGATAAGAAATTGGGTCTCAAAAGGGATATCTTTCCCAGATGAACCCATTCTCTGTGTCATCCACCATAGCTTAAACCGGAAAGTGCACATGAATCTTAAACCCCTGCATTCCAAATTTGATAAATTAAAATTAGAGTGCTAAAGCAATTAAATAAAAGAAAATTATTTCTATGGTATGTTTATTAAGGGGCTAATTACAGAAAACCCCTATGAACTTTTGGAGAGTTGCAGTAAACCTTTATCAACTTTTTCATATTACACTGAAACCCTTCAACTTTAGGAGTTGGTGCACATAACCCCGACGACCTGTTTTATTTCACTAAATTTCACATGGAAAAATTCTCATTTAATCTCCAAATTAACACCATTGTTTTTGACATCTCATGTGGCAAGCAGGTGCCCAACAAAAGATGAAAATAATTCCTTTGTCCCAAAAAACAAATTACCTATTCTTCCTTTGTGATAAAAGGTTTTTTGGGGGTACTAGAAGGAATATTTTTTAATCTTGTGCTTACCAGACACATTAGAGTTGACGATGCTAGTACATGGATTAAAATATAAATTTTCAGGTAAGACTTGGTCAAATAAAGCAGTTCACAAGGGCTACGTGCAATAACTCCGAAAAGTTGGGGGTTTATTCTAATAAAAAAGTTTATGGGGGTTTACTGCAACTCACCAATAGTCCATGAGGGTTTTCTGTAATCAACCCCTTATTAAGCTAGTAATGATCGCTCCAAATATCAAAATTCAAAGGTAAATTCTGAACAGAGTGAAGCCTTTTGACACTCATTACAGGTATACAATCTCACAAAGAGTCATGCATGCATCACAAGAAAAACTAACGTGATTATAATCGATCTGACAACAGAACGAAAAGGGAAAAGGGCATGATTCATGAAACAGAGAGATTAGAAGAAACACTTACTGAAGCTTTCCAATGGGGAAGACATTGCGATCGGAACTGACCCCGATGAAAGCGCCGGTCATCATTCCGTCGCCTCTCGCTGGGGTCAATGAGATGTTGTCGCGGACATCGGTCAAGATTTGGGTGCCAAGAACGCTCAAATTCCCATCAGCGACGGAAATCCCAGCTCCGACCGTCATCTTGATAGGATTGTTAGAATCCAATTACCTAATCCGGACAATAAAATTTTAAAAAACAACTTCGGACAAAAACAGGATAAGATTGAAACCCATAAGACAACTAATATGTCCTATTTTTAGAAAAGATGGTAAACAATTTCAATACATACACCGAAAAAGAATTATGAGAGAAGAATATGGCATAAATAGAAACAGGAAAAAATTATATAGAAGAAAAAAAAAATACCGAGACAGGATCCGCGTAGCAAGTGAGGGCGAAGAACTTGGGACTCTCTCCCCCCTTTAAATAGGGAGCAGAAAAAGTTCTGTATTGTTTATACCCTGTTTTTTGAACCAAACTCATTCGACAACGACTTTAATTACCGCAAACTCAACACCGTCGTGTTAGTCGGTTGGCATTCGGAATGGCGGGAACTTACGGCTACGATCCGTCACTATTTACAAAAATATCCCTGACACCCCCATGTTCCCATCAGATGCACGGGCCCGACTCGAGCACGAGAGAAGTTTGGTTGGCGTAAACTCGGTGCACCAGTAAATTTCCCAAAGTAAACGACAAAAAGAAGTAGTAACGTTTCCCCAAAGAAAACTGGAGGTGGGACCCGCTCACCGGCTGTTGTTCGTGGAGTTGGTTGCGTATTGTGGTCCTTTTTTAAGGTCGTCTCGGTGGGTGAACGTAATGCATGGTAAGAGAGAGAGGAGAGAAAGGGAACCGTCGAATACCCGCGGGTATTGATGAAGATGACGAGGTAGTTAGGAAAGTCAATTTATGCCCATATCTATTTATTCACCTGATCCACCCATCATTTGGCCCGTTTAAAACCCACCCATTTAATTAAATGGGCCTAATCGGATGGGTCCATTTTACATCCTATTAAACGGGCGCTAAATGGGCATTCTATACCCGTCCGCCCACCCGTCCTTATTCCCAAAACAAAACCCTAAATCTCTAAATTAAACGGGCACTAAAAGAGCCCCCAAAAAGTTTGCAAAAACCCCCCAAAATATTTACAAAAAGACCCCTAAAAGTTTGCAAAAACCCCCAAAAGTTTGTAAAAAGCCCCCTAAAAATTCGCAAAAAACCCCCAAAAAGTTTGCAAAATACCCCCAAAATTTTACAAAGAGCCCCCAAAAAGTTTGGGAAAAGCCCCCAAAATTTGGCGAAAAGCCCCCTAAAAATTTATAAAAAAACACCCCAAAAGTATTATATACACAATCACTATAGTTAAATAGGCAAATGAGTGTCACGTTTATTAAATGGGCGGGCAAAAACCCGTCCATTTAGAAAATATTAAATGGATTATAAATGGGTAAATGGGCAAAACATGTCCGCTCATTTATGGCCCACTTATTTAATACCCAAACCCACTTATTTAACATCTCTAGAGGCAGTCAACGCCAGTCAACGCCACGTGTGGATGATGTGGCGGATGAATATGGGTTATTGTCATCCGAGTCATATGAGTCGTGGCGTCTGGGGTTACACGATTTGGGATAATTAGTGTGGAGGGAATGACTAAATCACCCTTGATATATGTTTCCGTGGAGAAGTTTTGATGAATAACACAAAATTGGGGGAAAAGATAAAGAAGTGCATTGAAATGGACTGTAATATATTATAGGATGTTTTCGCATATAATGTACTAGTGACAATGTTTTTCTTTGGACATAATTCTCACAATAACCCTTGGTTGCATTGAAAGACCTCTTTCTTTCTTTTTTTTAAGAAAAAGTTTACATTGCAAGATTGATGCTTTAAACTTGAAGGTCATTGATTCGAGCCTCTGCAACAGCTCTTTGCATATAGGAGATAACTCATATTTGAATTTTTTTTTTCAGAGTCTATAATGATAGAAGTCTTTGTACATTGAGTTTTTTTATTGTATTTTTTGGGGTACAAGAGAGGTCTAGGCCAAAAAAACGTATTTTTCACTGTAGTTGCAGATTATCTGAGTGAAACGGAAGACCGATGCCCGAGAGCCGAGAGTAAGAAGTCATTACAGGGGTCATCAATTGGCACAACAATATAGTTTTTTTAAATTCTTTTTTCATAAAATAAAATATTGTTAGCCAAATCGAAACCGTAAAGTATTATTTTTATTATTATGCTCTGGCCTTATCGTTAGGGGGTGTTTGGTTGCATTGTTTTTGAGAAATGTTTTCTCAAAAAGTACAAACAATGGCATTTCTGTAATTAAGAGTTTTCTATAGATTTCCACAAACTTTGTTTGGCTCAAAAAAGATTTACAGAAATGTTTTTTGTAAAGTATAGAAAAGTACCAAAATTTATAGAAATTGATTTCCTTCTAAAATGGGCGGAAATCTCTTGGAAATCTGACGCATTCATTATTTAAATAATATAACTCATTAACACTTTTATAGAAAAGTTCTCACTTTTCTATAAAGTTGGGGGTGTTTGGTTACATTTCTATAAATTATAGGAATTGTTGCTATTTTCCCAAAAGTTATGAGTAATTTTCTTGTTTTGAACCAAACAAGCACAATACAAAAAATAAGAAAATTTGTACTTTTTAATTTCTCAAAACTTTTCCTATAATTTTTTTAAGAAATACAAGGAAATCAAATTTTGGATGGAAAACATTTTCTATAATTTATAGAAATGTAACCAAACACCCCCTTATCGTTCGCTATAGTGAGAGAACTTAGTCTCACCTCAAGTTCATAAGCTCATAAAGCAAACATAGGTGTCCTGCACTCAAACTAACATATAGATTGTTGAGTTCGTGATGACTCAAATCAGTTGAGAAGCGGGAATGGGTTTGGACTCTAATTAGGATTAGTTATATTATCTTAATTAGGATTGGATTGAAAAAATTAATTGAATTAGGAAATCTAATTAGGATTTAAGTTAGAGTTCTGATAGGATTGAACAAAATCAATCTCTATATATATTGTATCAATCCATGGGTTTAACAACAAGAAAAAAGAGAAATCTATACTCCACCATTGTTAGAAGTGTGTAATTTCAACCTCTTGTAATCTCTTCTCAAAAGAAATAAGATCTTTCCCCTTCCCCCCGTAGACGTACACAGATCATCTTGATCACGTGGAACCACGTTAAATCTTGTTGTTTGCAGTTTGTCTTGATTGCTTGGTAGATTTGGAGTTTCTTAATTGTTTAAGTTTTATCTTCCGCGGCTTGCATACTCTAACAATTGGTATCAGAGCTACTATTGTGACCAAGACGACAACGACCAAGTTCGAGGTGGAGAAATTTGACGGCAAGTTAAAATTTCTCTTGTGGAAGATGCGTGTCACGACATTACTCGTGAAGGAAGGGGTCCACCGATCCCTAGACGGTTTTGAGAAGAAGCATCCACTTTGGATGAAAATGAGTGGAAAGACATGAATGTCCGCGCAAATGCTACGATTATCCTGTGCTTATCAGATAAGGTGCTCTACAACGTTATGAACAAGAGCACGACTGCGGCTATGTGGTGCAAGTTGGAAAGCTTGTATATGACGAAGATTTTGTCAAATAAACTATTTAAGAAGAAGCAGCTCTATGAACTTCGGATGAAGGAAGACACGCTTATTCTGCAACAATTGAACATCTTAAATAGGATTATTGGCGATTTATTGACTATTGAGGTGACGCTAGAAGAAGAAGATCAAGCTCTTCTGTTGTTGTGTTCGCTTCCACCCAGTTACAATCACTTGGCGACTACTATCATGTATAGGAAGGAGACTTTGGAGTTGGAGGATGTCATCTCGGTGCTTCAGAATAATGAACTCATCAGGAAGACGGACACCATGAAGGAATCTTCAGGTCTAGTGGCCAATGTAAAAAAGGGAAGTCGAAGGGCAAGGAGCCGGTCAAGGCTCAAGGAAATTCTAGTTTTGTCGTCTGTTTTTGGTGCAAATGACCAGGTCACTTCAAGAAGGATTGCAAGTCGTACAAGGAGTACTTGAGAAACAGGATGGTGGGACTGACAACACTAAGGGTAAGGATAACTATGTTGGTGTCGTAGAAGATCTTTGTGACGTACTGACTGCGGAGTCAGGTACATGCAAGTATACCGATGATTGGTTACATGATTTAGGATGCACATATCATATGTGCCCAAGGAGGGAGTGGTTCAGCACTTACAGGCCTGTTTCTAGAGGATCGGTTCTCATGGGGAACGATGCAGTGTGTCAGATTGTTGGCATTGGAACGTCGGGATGAAGATGCATGATGGACAGGAAAGGACTCTCTCCAATGTTCGGTATGTTCGAAACTTAAAGAAAAATCTTCTTTCGCTGGGAGCTCTTGAGGCTCAAGGGTGCAAGTTCAATGATGAAGGTGGAGCTATCACAGTCACCAGGGGTGTTACTGTTGTTCTAAAAGGGGAGCACACGAGGAACTTACATAGACTGGTAGGGATCGTCATTGAGGGCGAGGTTTCAATCGTAGCAAAGAAGACTGATCAATCGAGACTTTAACACATGCATCTAGGACACATGAGTGAAAGGGGTCTGCAAGTACTCCACGGCAATGGCGTGTTCAGGAATAACTCAATGCAAACTTGAATTTTGTAAGTATTGTGTTATGGGGAAGCAACGTAGAGTATCTTTCTCTACTTCATAACATAAGTCCAAGGGGTTGCTAGATCTTGTCCACACTGATGTGGGGGGGCCCTCACCGAAGGCATCCATTGGGGGTTATGTTACCTTAATTAATGATTTCTCCAGGAAGCTTTGGGTCTATTTCTTGAGGCAATAGTCGAAGGTTTTTCAGAAGTTCAAGGAGTGGAAAGCATTGGTGGAAAATCAGAAGGGGCTGAAATTGAAAGTCTTGAGGTCAGATAATGAGGGTGAGTATACCTCCGGGGAATTTAAAGAGTACTTGACTGATGAAGGTATCCAGCATTAGTTAAGTGTGCCAGGATGACCAAAACAAAACAGAATAGTTGAACGCATGAATCGGACTCTAATGAAAAGAGCATGTAGTCTCTTGCTATAAGCAAACATGTCCGAAGGTTTTTGGGCGGAAGCGGTAAATCATGTGTGTTATTTGATTAACAAGTCACCGTCTACAGCCGTTGATCTTCAGTTCCCAGAGGAGATATGGTGAGGAGAATCAGTGAACTACTCGACTTTACATATATTTGGTTGTCCAGCGTATAATCTTGTAGACAGTCAGAAGAGAAACAAGCTGGAGCCCAAGTCAAGACAGTGTATCTTTATAGGATTCACTTCTAGATTCAAGGGGTACTGGTTATGGGATACTGAGACTCACAGTGCCTTTACCAGTAGAGATGTGGTCTTTGATGAAGACGCTATCATGCGGGCAGATTCGAAGATA